ATAGGAGTTTTGGGAAGGGATTTGAGAAATGGGGGAATAAAAGGTTGTTGTTAACTGCAGATAAGGTCATGCATTGATCAGTTTAAAATAGAAATACACTAAAAAGTAGCACATCATAGGGGTTTTTTTTTCCATTGAAAACAGGAGCACCAGATTTACTGAGTTTTAAATTAATAGAAAACTATGCTGTATCACACTGCCTGCTTTGTGAAAGTGTTCCTATAGGATATGTCAGGTAATTGAGTCATCAACACAAAATATTAATATTTAAGATGATACACTCCATTTTCTTAATGCGTTGTAGTTCCACACCTATCTCTGCAAATATGACACAGATTTACTGGGACACAGCAGTCACCTTGAAGCTGTACTCAGTAACAGCTGATTAGCATTATCTGTTCCAAATGTAAAACAAGTTCAGCTTCTCTGACCTCATTAGAGGGAGCTGAGAGCACCTCAGTAATAAGTGCTCCTCTAGCTCCTTCCAACAATTTGATTTATAAGGAAGAAAGTTTTAATGACACAATCCCTGCTACTAATAGACCAGCACTTCTTATGGATGTAGAAGAAAGATTCTTAAAATAATTAGGCTTAGCACTAAAATTAAAAAGGAGGCTGGAACAGGAAAATGTTCTTATTTTCAATAGCACACGGTATGCAATACAACAGTCTTTTCATCCAATTTGTATCACGGATGTGAGTACAGAAGTGAGGATAATATATCCAGAAGTGCACGGTAATCTATTCATAAACTTAGATATCTGCTCCTGTTTACTTCTGAATTTGAATGACTAGGGTATATGTCCATCAAAAGTAATTAACACTCACACACTGTTTATTATTTTTTTTTCAGTTACTGAATGTAAGAATTTGGGGTGATAAAATGACAAAGTGGTCTATGAATCTAAATTAAAAGTGGAGGATATGGTGATTTCAAACAGTGCGATGTTCAGAAACTTGTTTGCTTTATAACAGAGCAAGACAGTAAATTTTTACTTCACACTTTGCATAAGATTATAACGCAAAAAGGCAGATTGTAATTAATCTGTTCCAAATATTTTATCTGTCTTTCTACAAACTAACGTGTTTTCTGAGGCCTTTAAACCTACTAAGTTACTCTACAACTCAAAACTAACGAACAGCTGTATAAAAGCCTCTTGTAGTTTGCAATTAGGGAGAACTGGTTATTTCAGGTAAGCCAGGTATATTGGCAAATGATGCATTAATTTATAAGCTTGGTCTGTCACTAATTTTTCACAGATTTTTCAATACTCAAAGAGTTTTCAGGAGATTGGCAGGAGCAGAGTGACTTAAATCCTACTATTAGCAAAAGAACACACCAAATGCCAAAAACCCCTACACTGTAAACCCCTTATTTCAGCACTTAAAGTGAATGTCACCTGAATAGCATCCATTTATCTTTCAGTTTAAAGATGAAAAACTCTCTGTATGTTTTCACAGTGCTCTGAATTTGAGAGCTTGATCCAACTAAATCTGTTAGCAGCTTTAAGACCCAATTACTACTCACAGGAACGAATGAAATCTTCAGATAAGATGACACCATGCTGAGATAATTCAAAAGAAATTAGTCACACTACTTCAGGCTGATATTTTTTTTTTTTGCTTGAAATGTGGTGCTATGAAAACTGACTGTTTACGAGAAAAAAGCAGGTTGTTTTTTTTTTCTTTGCTTGCAGGATTCACCTAAAGCCTCAGATGAGTTGCATAATCTTTCTAATATCTCCATAGAGCTTCTCTTCACTTCCTGGCTAAGAAAAAGCAAGTTTAGGCAGATAAAAGGTGTGTTTACACATGGCTGGGAGGCTGCACACCAATGAAGGATCTGACGCCTTTATATTCAGGTGAAATCACTCACAAGGTACTAAATGACAGTTTGGATTCCTTAAATCCATAATGTTCCGGAGTTAGATTATTCTATACAGGTTCTTCATGTAATTACTGTTTTGGAAACACAGGTATGTGCTGACTTTAGCAATACTTTTAATAATCATGTTTCTTTTATCCCAGTAGGGAGTGATCAGTTAGATGAAAGCAGACCTATTTCAAGTGGAGGAACTAAGGCTGGCAAATATATTTGTACATCTCTAAATGTGACAGGAAAATTGATGCCATTAGCTCTAGTCCCTGGGATTTTGTTTGTTTATTTTGGGGTTTTTTTTGTGCTAAGCTACCTGCATAAGTTTTGTGTGCTCCTCAGGTAGGTTTTTGTTGTGAGAATGTACTTGCCCAGCCAGTTTCCCTGTAGGTATCAACATGAAAACAAACTAACTATTCTAATCTCTGTAGCCTTAATGAGGGAAAGCACTATGGGAAAGTAAGGGGACATCAGAATATGTTTTCTTGATTCCTACGTGTTTTTCTATAATCCAAGACATTGACCTGTGACATAAGAAATACAAATTCCTGCTAAATGAAAAGTTTGTTTGTATTCTAATAGAGACATAGCAAAAGACAGGTCTTGTGGATTTTCCACATAGAGAAGTGAAGAGAAATGCTACCTCTCAATTTTCAATGTTTTGTTATGGGAAGTTTCTATGTAATTGCGTATCATGGATTGAGTTAAAGGCTATCCAGCTGTATCATCAAATACGTTTGTCTCAGCATGTAGGAAACAACCAAATACCATGCAGTCATGCAAAGAAAGGTAAACAAAAAGCTACTGGTGTCTCAGACTGGTGTGGTTTGTGGTTAGGAGTCAGACTTTGAAAACCTTGAGTTGTTTGATGAGGCTGCCCAATAGCATTCTGCTCCTAGGGAGGGATTTGGATGATGACCAGTTTGGTGTGAGCCTTGGAGGGGAGCCTGGAGCAGTACCTGTAGCACGCATTGGACACAGACCCATGCTCTCAGGTGGGCCCTGCAAGCTGAGGGAGCAAACTGAGGACTACCCTAACATTCAACTCAGCGTGGTAGGGACAGCCCAGCACCTTCTCTCAAAGGTAGGTGACATAACCTTGTACTCAGGGGCCTGAGCAGAAACCACTCATTAAAAGCAGATGAAAAGCAAAGCTGGTGATCTTGTTGCTCATGTGGAGCACAAGAGTCTTGTGGCTCAAGTGTGCCTTCAGGCAATGTGTATCCAAGACGTGACTCCTTTTCCAGCCTTTCCATTTCCCAGCTTGCAGGAAAGGGGGTATAGTTTATTGCAAATGGGGAGAAGATACTTTTCTTCCTGGTCAAGCTGTGTCTCCCTTAGAGCTTGGCTTGCAGGCAAGAGGAGAGGAGCACAGGGTGGAACTGTTTGTGCATTTGATATTTCATAGCTGATGGCTTAAATGTGTTTTTAAATATTATCATCACAGAATTTCATCTGTTTCTCTTTGTTTTACCCTAAAACTTGATTCCCCTCTGTAGTGCAGTGAGTGAGGCAATACAAACTTTATGCATCTTCATGAATTATCTCAAGTATTTCAATCAAAATTTCATAATCCATAAAAGGATTTAGGCACTTGGAGTACAGGATTAATGACTTGTATCCAAAACAGTGATTTTTTCAGAACTGTCATTTGCTTAGAAGTTGAGATATAAAAATATTAGTTCTAAATGTTTGGGTTCCTATAGTATAAAACATGCAAAGCTGCCATTGCCTTTTAAGCCATGTCAAGGCAAATCCTACACTTTTGTTGAAAGGCCTTTGACATATGAGAAACTTCTCTGCTTGGAAATGCTGTAATGAAAAGAAAAAATACTTGTCTGTAGGAAAAGTATTTTGAGTCTAAACCCTCCTGGAATGAGTAGGGAGCTATTTTCCACACAAGTTATAATTAAGTTTATAACATCTTAGCCAAAGAGCCTGATCCACTAGTCACAGATCCGCTTCGGTTGGTAGGAGGCTCAGAACCAATGTGCAGGCGTTTAGTAAGATGTCCAGATACAAGTTAGTCTTCTAACCAAAGGCACTGGTCCTGTAATTATCTGCCTCTCTGTTGAGATGTTATCACATCTTTCACGAAACGGCCTGTTGATGGCCTGACTCCTGTAGTGTGTGACTGGCACTGAGCCTCTGCTTAACGAGCATCTGCTCTGGGCTCTCAAAGTGTGTGTTTTAGCCTTGATACAGTCAGTGGCACTTTGAGAGACGAGATGTGCCATGAAATGTCTTGCACTCCTCCTTAAGGAGGTCACAATCACAAAGATCTTGCAATGGTAACGTCTGTTGCCATAAGATGAAACAGTATTGTATGTGTTTATATAGTTTATATGTATGTATATATATTCATATATGTATGAACGGTGGGTTCCTTCATTCTTAAGCTATTTAAGAACCATTTATATTTGTCCAGAGAAGAACCTCACTGCTTGCTTTGGCCTTCTCCCAAATACACTTCAACAACGGGAGGGCTGCAATGGAAAAATACTCGTAAACCTTTCTTCAGAGGCTGCTGCTCCTGGGACAGCCAGCCGAGATGCAGAAGTCAGCGAAGTGTCAAACTGAGCTAACTTTGCAGTAGTCCAGACGCGTGCCTTGAGGGACGCCATGCACACCACCACCTTGGTGACTCGTGCCCTGCCTCTGCCAAGTCCTGGACCTCACAGAAAGGCAGTGTGAAAAGCTGCATAAACAAAGCTCTGCATGGTTAGTATCAGCTTCACCCCATGAACTCATAAAGCCCAGCCTACAATGTCTGTTTGGGAATGACTGAATTATCAGCTGGATAAAAACCTCACCTGCATGAAGAGCATTAATCACCTCGAAGGGAATGCTGCTGTTATTTGGCTGAGCAAAGCTGTCTGAAGGATATCAAGATGGGAATAACCTCTCGCCATTGCTTCAGTGTGATTAAAATCTGACAATGCTGCTGCTTAATCATTAAGTAAAATGAATTTGCAATCTTGGTCTCAGAAAAATAGAGCACTCTCCCATCTCAGCATTCCGTGCAGTGTACTGAAAAAGGTGCTGGACAAGAAGAACTTGTTTGTTCCTCTCCAGGGAGTATCACTTAAAGCCTGCATGCTTGGAGATCTGTGTACAAAGAGCTTGCTCAGCCACTAGGCAGTGAAAAGGCTTCAAGTTAATGCTCTTTGTTTATGGAGTATCTTGGATCTGCTCCTGGAAGGTGCTGAGCATCGTTGCTCCATACAGAGGACAGTTTGTGGCCACCAGACTTCTTGAAGCGCTGTGCGACCTCTTGCCTGGGTAAGGGGTCCTCTTCTAAATTAATCTCGTTCCACTGACATACTCAGGTGCAATTATCAACGTTCAGGTAACAATTAATAATTCAGGGTCTTGGGGGGCTTCACGTCTCTACCACTGCAATCCTGCTCCACTGTCTGACAAGTTCTTGCAATGGGCAGTACTGTGTAATTTGTGGTCCCACTTTTTGGCATCAGTTATGATTATCTTGAAAGAGGATGGCTGGGAAATACTCTTCAAGCTGAAGTGGGAAGGAGTGAGGAGGTGGAAGGGCTTGCTGCTGCTGCACAGGGAGCAGAAGCAGAAATCCCTGTAGGAGAGAAATTTGGGGAATTGTGGGAAGGGGCCTCTCTATCTCACACGCTTCCAGGAGACAGTGATAACTGTAGCTATCTGAAAGCAGTATACTGAGAAATTGACAGTAAGTTGCTAGGTAGACAGTAAGTAACTAGGTACCACTGATCATGACATTGCAATATAATTCCTGTTTTCCTGCCATACACCTTGAAAAAACGAAAAATAGCTGGCTTGAGCTAGAGGTAGTTGCTTATAGTGACAGGGAGCATTGAAAACCATCACATCGTTTCTCTATTGATGAAATATTGCTCCTAACAGCATATTTCTTATATATTTTCTCACTTGAATTTAATATTTTAATTACTTAGGAGACCTTTTAAATTAAGGTAACAATTAAGGCACACTAATTCTGCTGAAGTGCCAATGAAATTAAGTTACTCTTGTTTGTACCATCACTTTGTAACCAGCTGAGGTTGCTGCCCTGACATCATAATAGAAACACAAAGTGGGAGACCATCTCTGCCCTGGAGAGCTTACATTTTCAAAGGACAAGAGACACAAAGATGTTGATGGGTTTTTTTCTTAATGCTATTGTTTTAGTTCTGCTCTTATTTTAATGTAATTTATCTATTTCCTCCTGCTTAAACACTTACTGTATTCCAAAGAGTTGTCTACGCCAGCTATTCAAATTGGTTCTTTAATTTCTTGTGGTTAATAAGCTACCATCAAAGAGTGTGTTTATTAAGGAGTTAAAGCTTCCTGCGTTTAAAAACAATTCTAAATGATGTTGATATTATTTATGATACTCCACAAATGGAATAATGACCATAAAAAATAAATCTCTTACACTGTGGACTCTAAACCTTGTTCCAAGTTATAGGTTATGAAATTAAAGAGCAATTAGCAATGAAATAATAAGCTACAAACTAATCATCACCCTCTTTTTGCCCCAATAGTATAGTTTCTCAGTATAATTAAGTGACAAATAAGAAAATAGATGAATTACTATATTTTGTAGACCTACTTCTAGTCTCACTTGTACTATCATAATTCAGGAGTAACTCCAGTGTGAAACATTTAAAGTCAGGATAAAGGAAGTCAGGATTCATGTACAAACAACTATTTTCAATAAAAGCAAATATACATTCATTCACTCCTGGCCCCTTTCAAATTTCGTTTGCAAACAAGTTTTTATATATTAATCAAATGAAGAACAAGTACTTAAAAGAAGAAAAGGTCTTTGTAAGGCTCTGAGGCAGGACCCTGATTTCCCTTTGAAGACTGATGCTTGTTACTGAATCTGATTATATGAAGACTGGTTCTTTCAAAATGGACAGAGGACCATAAGGATAGAAACTTGTATGCAAACACAAGCACCTAAAATTTGTTATAAGTTCAGAGACCTTTTGGTATGGAAGAACTGGCAGGAAGAAGAGGGTGAGGTTATCCACATCCAAGTGAGATGTGGATGTCAAATGCCATCCCAGCAAATCAGAATACAGTAAATATTCTTCATGAATACTTTAATTTTCCTTTTGGTGCTCACTGCATTTTAAGGGCGTTATGAACCAGATCTGTAGCTCAGCCTTACATACTAGTGCACACAGTTTGGTACTTAGCTGTACTTTCCATGGTTCTGTCCTATTATCCTTTTTTGCTATGGAAGGAGCAAATAGCAGCACAGCTGTCTTTCCAAGATGGATCTTTCTATACCAGCGTATATCTGATTGCAAACCAAGGAGCAGTCAAGCTCAGAAAATTTTCTAAGGTAAATAGTGAGTTACTTCTCCTCAGTGGGCACAGTGAAATACCACTTCCTGGGAGAAATTCTTCTCCCTTAACAGAGATGTATCTTTTCCATCTTTCAAATCAAAACAACAAACAAAACCCACTTCTCAAAGTCCTCCAAAATACTGTGGTAAAGCAGCAATGCTTACCAGCAACGTTCAAGTGCTTTCTGGTGCTGGGACTCCTGCTAGGACCTGGGACTTCAAGGGAGAAAAGGAGGAGGAAAAGGAGATGGCAAAACTTTTCATGGCTTGGTGTGGTAATAGTTTAGATATCCTGCTGGAATTATTATATGATAGAGAAACAGACTTAAGCATCTAAACCAAAAGTTAATCTTTAACTTAAAAGTAGCCCTTCCTAACTGCAGAACATTATCAGTGAACTGAGATAAAATGTCTCTGTTCTGCAGGTGGAAGAGGAGGTCTTTCCAGATCTTTTAAACTCTCGTCACCAACCATAAAGGCAGCTGCAAAACAAGAGCACAAAGAGGTAAGCACTTTGTTTTCTAATACCATCTATAATATAGCAAGGGTCTTACTTTTCTCCTCTAAGGCTTGAGCAAGAAGGACAGGGCCAGTCATTGCTATTCACCGAAACGGCCTTAAGGCAGTTTGTATTGCAACACTTGCCAAGAAAGGACTGCTGGAAGCAGCACCAGGGCATTCCAGTGTCACCTGCCAGCACGTGCCAGGTTTCCCCTACGTCTTCCACCAAAGTTTTCATTGCTTTTACACGGTTCATTGGATTGAATGCCATTTCTTTAACCGTCTTCAAATGCACAGGCATCCCCTGTCAGGATCTCCGCAGCTCCTGGCCGTTACAACGGCGGAGGCTGCATGCGGCCAGGGCTTTGCTGGAAAACTGCCACACGGAGTTGTCCTCCTCCAACCGTCTCACCTCACCAGCTGGAGAGGTGACTGAGGCGTGATTGCCTGCTTCCACCAAAGGTAGGCCATTGATCAGTAAATTTTGTTAAAGGAAGTTAATTGAGATAATGGGGCTATTATTTATCTTCCTTGATTGCTTAGAGGGAATGCTTATTGCAGTGGAGCCCACTGTTTGTTTGGTAAATCAGCTTCTACTGCCATACGCTTCTTTACCTCCATACATGTCAACTGTTCTTTATATTACTTACAAACTAGGAAACTTCTGACTTTGCTTTTCTGGGTATTGGTTGCAAAATGCTCAGTTTTCATTGGCAGGCCCCTTGCCATGCACACACCCCAAACACTGTATCACAAGGAGGAAAACATGTGAGGCATGTGCTTCAGGAGCAGCGAGGAGGGCAGCAAAGCATGCTCAGGAGCTGCTTCTCAAATTTTTTTAAGTTTAGTTGATATTTTATCAAAAAGTCATCCTAGTTAAAGAATCAGCTTGCATTTCTTATTAAATCACTCCCCAAGAATGCTAAGTTTTCTTTTAACAGTACTTAACGAGATGGGAGGAAGTGAGACACAAAACGTTCTACTACTACGGAACGAAGGAAGAGAAACTACGTGACTGTCATGCATTATTTCTAAAAATAGTCATACTACATTTTTCTATAAAGCAGCAACTGCTCTTTAAAATGAGATCAAATGAAATACACTTGAAATTGAACAATGAAGTCTTTGTTTGATTTCTCCCCACCCAGGCTTTATCATCCTTTCAAATCATTTTTCCCTTTCTCGTAACACTGAGCTATTTCAGCCTGAAATCTTTCTAGTGTTTTATTAATCAGGTTCCCTTTTTCACACAAGCTTTCCCAGTTGTGATCCAAATGCTTTCTAGCAGCATTGTCTGTGTATTAGCAGTACATTAACATGAAGTTCCATCTGCTACTGTCCTCCCTCAAGTACAGCACAGCATAGTTGCTACATAATTTGTTTGAATTATTAGTATTTGGTGCACTCCGCTACTTTGGAGGACCGTGTAAGTATCTCCTCATGTTCCTTTTGCCAACTTTCATGCCACTGTTCATGCTTTATTTTTGCTTAGGAAAACAACTATTTTTGTGATGTTCTGTAAGCTTTTTTTTTTTTGTGATGTTCTGTAAGATCTTACTGAAGTCTCCACTTTGAAAATAATACACAATTATTTCAAATATTCCTAGGATGTTTTGTTTGTTTGAATGTTCGGGGTTTTTTTCCTCCACAGCATTTTAGTTTTCTCCTTTCATTTTCTTAAAGCTAATGAAACATGATTAGAAGACATATGTCTCTTGTCTGCATCTTTTCAGATCATTTGCAGGAGCGCAGGTAAAAAGAGGAAGATACCATCACCCCAGCACACATCCTCTCTATAAGCAGCCATTTTGTGATTCTGTTCTTTGTGCAATATTAAAAGGTACGTGTTTCTTTAACTCACCATAAGGTGCCAACTATATGTACATACTCATTCTTTTTAGAGCAGAATTATACAGAATTCAGCAAAATTGAATATTTGACCAGAAAGAGAGAAAATTACATATGATGGAGACACTGATACTTATCCCTTGCATGAACTTGGTTACTCTAGCAGCCACGTTCTAACCTGTGTTACAATCCTCCTTGTTCAAGTGTGGCACACCCAAAAGGTATTTTTTGTAAAGTAACTGAACCCAGAGAAGCCTCTCTGCTTTTCTACTGTAAAGTTAAATGAGGGCACATTCAGTGGCCTCTGTTGCAAATATTTTCCCCATCGAGGTTTAGAAATGGTAAGGTAGAAAGAATGAGTGAAATACGTGTGAAACTGAGGCATCTAGCAGGCTTTGTGGTAATTGAAGGTAACAGCCCTCAGGTCTCTTGAGATGAATAACTGATAAAAATCCTCACATACTGGGATCTCTCGACCTATCTGTTGGCAATACCCCTGGCAAGACTACGATTTATCCTGCTTTTGGATGATTGACCACACTATACAATGCCTGTTCCTATCACTCTTTTCTGCGGGTGCTGTGCCTTGCACTTTTTTGGAGCCCGTCACAAATGTACTTTTGGAGGTCCTGTCCCCTCCTCAGCCTGTGTGGGAACCAGCTTCCCTCTGTGGGACCCAGCTTGGAGATGCAAGACACTATGCCTGTAATAAGGTCCAGCCTGAAGGTAAACTTTGCTCTCCTGGGCTAAAGCTGCGCACCATTACACAAGCGGAGCCACTGCCTGGTCCCCTAAAAGCACACAGCAACAAAGAGAAGCAAACAATAAATGGCATCCATGCTTGGCTTTTACCTAATACTAATCATCTCTCTGTACTTTGGGCTCCTTTTGGACATGATCTGCAGTGTCTCAACCCAGACGCCCTCCTGTATCTACCTGGGCACTGCCCCAGCAAGAGCCAGTGTCTCATCTTTGTCAGGAAACTCTGCTCATTGGGGAACAGTTACCACCACCCCAGCCTGGGACTCCTGGTCCTGCCTGCCCTGTGCAGCCCAGGAAGTCCTCCTGACCATGTCTGTGATCACACTCCTATGTGCTATCACCCTCTCTAAAATGGACTTTTGTTGACAAATATTTGCAGCTGCTTGCACAATCTCAAGCTGGAAGAAATAGCCAGACTGGGGATTTTAATTTGGGGGTGCTTGTTGCAAAGCTCCTGCTTTAAAGTCTTACCTGCTGAAGCTCTATCCAAAGATGACTATAGCCTAAGCTACTAAACTCCAAAACCTCATTCTCCACCACATCTTTGTTGCTAAATCCCAGAGGCTGCTTTGTGTCTTCTGAAATGTCCTGATTTATGCTTACTTCAAAAATTCCTGTAATAATCCCTTTTGGTTTAGGACAAATTGCTGTTGCTGTGACTGGTGATGGGAATATTTGAAAGGGATGGTTGATTAGATCCACCTCTTGGAGGTAGGGTTTACCTTTCTGTGTAGAAAACAAGATGAGAAGAAAATGGTACTTTGATCATCACTTAAGGTTTTGAGGGTTCTTTTCCTAGCAAGTATAAGCATTTAAATAATATTCCTCCGTTTATACATTATGCCTCCATTTAATCTCTCCATCCTAAAAGTTCTGCCCAAATCTGGATTTTCTTGTTTCAGTTACCAAGTCATCCCCATAGCAGTGCTTTGCAGCTTCTCTGTCCTGAGAAAATTAGCATTTGGTCTCTTTATACAGCAGCATTTCCAGTGCCAACAGATGTCAGGAACTGGACACTGTGGATTACATCTAGTGTCACAGGCCTTCTGAAAAGCTTTACTTCCAAGAGTGACCTGTGTCACAGACAATTCAGATGCAATCTTGCTTGCCAAGGGAAGGTTGGAAAATGGGGCCCATCCTCATACAACCAGGATCTCCAATGTTTCCCTCCTCTCGTTCATCACGCTTGGGTTTTCAATATTTCTTTTCTGTCAGAGAAACATAATTGAAATTATTAATATCACCTTAGCAATACATCAAAGTGGATGGATGGACCTGCAACTGCATGTTTTGTTACCAGTATAGGATATTTTTAGAATCAAAGTGTTGGGTTTTGACCTTGGAGTCCATCCCATTGCAAAGCCTGATAAAGCAGCTAGTTTTTAAATCTTTACTCATCTTGTCAAAGACAAGGCGGCAGGGCAGTTTGCAAGTACTAAATGACTTCTGTACTTAGTAAGTGTTTCAGCATTGACACTGTTTTTGTTCAACCACAAAAGCTATTTGTTGTCCAATACTCTCTGGTGTCAGGATTGTTCTTCCTTATTCATGTAAAATACACGGCGTGTGTCAGTGAATCCATTCTTCTCCTTCCTGCTGGTGATGAAGGAAGAGGGAGTCCCCTGGCCTGTTGGTGTGTGTTGGTGTTTGCAAGTCTTTCCCTGGGGTTGTCTTCCCAGAGCATACAATTTGATGTTTCTGCATTGAAAAATGATGTAATGATGGTTTCTTTAGAAAATGCTTCCCTTAATTTACTTATAAAGCAGAAATTGTAAAGTTGTTGAGTCTTCTGTCATTTTCTCATTTTCTACTGGAAGCGTGACTTTTCTACTGGAAGTTGACTTTAGGTTTTATGTGATAATGTAATTCAGATATACTTTCTCCTGGCTTGAAGGACTTAAAGGAGACTTAAATTGGCTCAGCACTTAGCCGTTGTCTATACTTTCTAGCACTAAAAAGAAGTGTATATTGCACTCTCTAACACTTTGAATTGTATCCTTAACTTTCAGAGAGCATCTGTCTCAGCCTTGCATTATTCTTTATGGCCAGGATGTCCTCCTCATCCTCTTCCGTGTTGGAGATGGAGATCTTCAAGTACATTGATGTACATCAAAGTGATTTCATCGAGGTAGGAACTATATTGCAGTGAAAAGACCGGAGCACAGAACTGGTGTCCTGGAGTCTTGTGTTCTACATGCAAGATGAGTGTTTACCAGTAAGGTAATGAGCAGGGTTTCCAAGTCTGGCATCAGGTGTGCCATGTGAGCTTTAAAAAGCAAGGTTTTAAGTCTGTGCTGGGGACCCTCTGGGTAGAAGAGGGATTTACATGGACCTCCATAGACCAGGTGGCTGTGGGCATCCTTTGTGTGCAGAGAGGCTCCCTGAGCCAAAATGTACCCACATGGGAGAACTGGCAAATCTTTATCAGTGAAAAAAAAAAAAAAATAGCATCCATGATATTGCAGTGATGGGATGGAGGTGTAGCCATCTTCCAGTGTGACAATTCTTGTGTTCAGAGGCCAGACACTGCAGCATCCTGGGTGATTTAACTGCACTTCTCTCCTTCTTGTGCAGGATCTTAAGGAATGGGTGGCTGTGGAAAGTGATTCTGTTCAACCAGCCCTGAGGAAAGAAGTCACGCGAATGATGGCACTGGCAGCAGACAGACTTTCAGTGCTGGGAGCCACTGTTAATTTAGTAAACCTGGGGTCACATCAGGTGCTTGTCTGATTCTTGCATTTAAAACATCATATTCATGCCATGTTGCTTACCTATTACATTCAGTGCTATGCATATGTATGTTGTGATTTACTGATCTTTTTTGGTAGCCAGCTAACAATTTCTCAGTAGTCCTGTGATACCTGCTGAAATCAGTCCCTCCTCAGACTGTCTTAGAATAGACTTGGGAGACCACACAGGCAATCCAAATGCAAGCAGATGTTCCCTGAATAGCAAAGACAGTTTGACGCTTTTGACTAGAGGGAAGTAGTTTGTAAAAGTAAAATGTCTTGAGTTTTTTACCAGAGCTCATTTTCACATTCTTCTGAGTAACAAAGCATGGTAATTAATGCATCAGTTTGTCACCAAAGTCTCTATATGGGGGAGGTAGCTTTTACAAGGAAAGTGTTGCCAGACAGAACGGGCTAGCTATCTTGAGCATCATCTTTGGCTTTGGGAGCTTCTGACAAATGCTCCAAGTCATTTTCTCAATGACAGATGGAAAGCAACAGGCAGGAGTCAATATATGAGAAATCTTTATCTCTAGCTCACTTACCTTACTGTGGCTGAGGGCCCTCTCCTGCCCTGGGCTGTTGGATTCCTATTCTAACAGGAATTCAAAAGTTCACTAATAGTGAGTCCCTTTTTCTTCCTCTGAGGTTTCTGAGGAGGATCAAGAGAGTCTTAGCACAAGGACCTTGCAGCACAGAAATACTTTAATATTTCAGGTTATGTCATTTAATAGTTGTAAAGAACGCGTTTAAAATTAAAAGCTTAGCATGCACTTGACATCCAGTTATGATTGTCAAAATATATAGCAATGGTCTGTGTCAATAACAGCAGGGAATAGATTACCTGTTGTTCAAGCAGAGACCAGAGATACTTTTCTCTGCCTAGGGCCAAAATATTTTTTTTAAAAATGGGTTTTTCCTTCAATGCTGTGTTGCAACAGAGAGGTGCAGACTGATACTATTGATGAATGCAAGGGAGTACACACATTCCTTCACTTCTTATTTCTCTCTCCCGTGAGACACCCAGCTTCTCTTGGCCAATGTGGAGATCTCTTCTGTGCACTAAGTTATGGGATTAGTTTAGAGCCTAAACCTGTTTTGAAAACAGTCTGAAATAGCAGCTGCTGCTTCCTGCCAGCAAAACTTTATTTTGTTTCTAGATTTGAAGTTGCAGGCCTCCTACAATCTGTCTGTGGCAAAATGAAGTCTGTGTGGCTTTTGACTATGTCAGTGTCACAACATATGCTTTTGTCACTCCAGAACACAGTTGGCTTTGTCTTCTCCAGTGCTGGGAAGTAAGAGTTTAGTAATGAGGTCATTTATGATAGTAAAATGTTAGAAGAGCTCCATAAAGTCTCTGCAGAACCTAAACAGCTGGGGAGAAAAAAATCTTAATTTCTCTGGGTAGGCTCAAAGTCAGACTTGTGGACCTGATAAAATCAGAGCCAAGTATGTAGAAGTATTTTCAATACTGAGAATCCTAGGGTGCTTTTATATAACACTTGCAAGTTTTCAAGGGTTTATTTTTTCTTTTTTTCTTTTTGTGTAACACCTCTCTGTAGTTGCCTGATGGCGAGGACCTCCCACTGCCTCCTGTGATTCTCGGGGAACTGGGAAAGGATACACAAAAAGCCACTGTATGTTTCTATGGTCATGTAGATGTGCAGCCTGCCAAAAAGGAAGATGGCTGGAAAACTGACCCTTACACGCTGACAGAAATCAATGGCATGTATTTGGTCTGGTCATAATTTTTGTACTGTTATTTGAATATATGACTCTGAGATATTTTTTAGTAGAAGGAGGCTTCCTATATGTTAAACCACAGCATGACAACTTCTCCCATGGTAATCTGTGGGACAAATGCCGGGACTTTGGGTCTTGGTGACCATGCTGTGAGTAGTGAGACCCATCAATGATTGCTTGATATTTGGTGTGGAAGAGCCACATGGGGTTAATTACTTTTTTTATATTCAACAGATAATCCATTTCTGCTTTAAAATTCTTGTTGGGTTGTTGGATCAGCCATTAGCCTCCCTAGAACTTCCCATTCTTGCTTCATAATCCTTTAGTACCTCCGCCTGCTAAGCTGGAAATAAGAAGCTTCTGCTGGTGGTGGAAGGATGAGAGGCTCCCCTTAGCCTCATCCTTCCACTAAAGCCAGCTGAGCATGAAAAGATCCAGTCACTTGATGAACCAAAATTAAGGGTGGAGGGTCAGCAAGGAGTAAGACCAAGAACCCAGAAATACTGATTCCCGGTCCTGTCCTACACCCATTAAATGGCCTTCCCCATCTCTTGGTACCAGTTTCAGATACACTTACTGGGGTAACTCTTGTTCCTCCACTGGGGACTGCCACAGATAAATCTGGTAGCGGTAATCCACAGATTTATTTGTATATGAAACAGATTTATCTGTATGTGAAACTGAAATCTGTCCCTGCATATAACTGTAGAGTTGAACACCTAAAAAAATATATATAATTATGTTCCTAGAACTTTACAGCTTTATACTTCTACTGGGGTGTTTATCTGTGGGGTTTTTGCTGCTTGTTACCTGGACTGGCTGATGTGCACAGAAGCTGCGTATTGTGCAAGCTCTCCAGGCATGTCTGGCATGAACAAACAACTCCTAAAGACAGAAGTGAAGTTTAGAAATTGGCATGTAGCAGAAACCACAGTATGATGTACATAAAAAGGGGTGGGGGGAAAATGTACTAGTTCACTGGGAAACACCCATCACCTTATTTAAAACAAGTCAATGAAATCCTGATTCTTTTGACACTTCTCTTGATGCACCACTGCAGCTTCTGTGGAAACAGGAATTTGCTGAATACATTGCTGTGACGAGAGAGGTTTCAAAGATTGCTTAAAAACTTTCCTCTTTTCTTTTAAGGAAATCTTTATGGGCGTGGAGCAACAGATAATAAAGGACCTGTCTTAGCTTGGATAAATGCAGTGGAAACATTTAGAGCCTTGAAATTAGTAGGTATTAATGAGGAATTATTATTGTTGTTGTTGTTTTATAATATTTCTCTGGAGGGATGTGTTTACCTTCCTGTGAGTTAGATGATACATCTCTGTGCCAACAGACTTCATACATTTTGAAATATTAGCTTATTCTTAATGCTATATCCAGGGCTCCGGTGCCACCCCAGTAAGAATCTGTCCTTGAGCATTTCTATTTTGAACAGTGTGTATGCAAGGTAAATACTGTATTGCTGTCACTGCCCTATAGAGAAAAACACACTGGGGGAAGCATTCAATGTATATTACATACATTAAACAGCTTTGATACCCTATTCTCTTGAGAGCTTTTAACATGGTAAAATAACATACAGAACAGATCGGTCATGAAGACTTATCTCTGCTGTTACATTCTGCCAATCTTTGGTTTTGTCTGCCTACAAGTTACCTTCAATTTGTGTGTATGAATGAAGAGAACAAGCATCAAAAAATGCTTATATGTAATGGGCTGTTCTTTCAATGATACATTAGATTTATCAACGTAAATGCTTTGACTGGGTGCATTAACCAAGTACAAATATACTTATTATAGTGTGACATCTCTAAGAATCAAAATTTGCCTAAATTATTACAATGACCAATACAGTTATCTTTAAATCAGCCTGCATATCTAAAAATTTGGGGCTAGTTTTATCTCCAATGCAAAGCTAAACCAACATATAGTCTAAGCTTATACCTTGGTTAGCAAGTGTCCTTTAAAGTGAATTTGCACAACACATTTTGTTAGATTGTTAAGAAAGTTTTGTGCCTCTGTTAAGACATTATAGCACAAATTGAGCCATAAAGCCTTGAATTTTAAGGTCCTTTTGCAATTTGGAAAACTGATGTTTTTCTTGCATTGATAGTACTGAATTGATCTCAGTGTCTCTTAATACAGATTAGCTGTTGCAAGTGGATATGGTTATGGGGCTGTCTTTTTGCATCTTTCCAGTTTTTCAAATCACTAATAACTATGAATTTTAACAAGCAAGCAAAAAGAAATACGTCATTTGAAGCTTTCCCTAGAAGACAGCACAGACTATCAAAGAGTATTCATGAACAGTTTGTTTCTAAATTTTTTTGTGGTCATTCGATGAAACATTGGTGAACCCATCCATAACACAAGTTCATTTAATTCTACACATTTGTTCCTGCGTTTAATCTGAGCATTTAATCAGAAGATAAAACATCTTAAAAGCTGTAATGAGAAAATGAATTGGAATGGGAAACTAAGCTCAAATTTATTTCTCCTACGGGACGTGTCAGCATTTCTAACTTGTACTATTCCATAATAAAAGTTCTCTTAATTACCCTTGGAAATATGTCCTTATGAACTAGCAGGCAAATAGATTCACGGGTGCTAAAGGGAAAATTGTAGTAGAATCACCAGCAGCATTTTTACCACTGTGTGACTAACTCTGGTGATAGATAACACATTGGGAAAACCGCAGCAATGGACCTCTGCCAGTGGTTCCTGCACAGCCACCAACAGCAGAAATATGAGAGGCAGGAAATTTTCTGTGAAAATGCAACTGTTATTACTCAGGCTTTCCAAAGCAATTAGAATATTTAATAGTACATCCCATTTTATGACACGGTCCAGCAAGTTTTCTGGAAGCACAAGGAAAAAAAAAATATCAGTTGTTTTTGCTTTCAAAAATGAAAAGTACAGAAAAACATGAAGATGAGCAAGTTTTCCTGGGAAACTATATATGTGTGTGTATATATATATATTTAAATATATTTATATATGCCCTTTCTATTGAAGCAAGCTAGATATCTGTGTCCTTTTCTCAACACATGTACTGCAAGCCAGTCTGCTTTTGATGGTTTTTTAAGGCCTTTTACTTTTTGAAAATGCATGTTCCTTACCTAGATCTCTTTAATGTTCATTTAGGCTATGCCAGTAAACTTCAAGTTTGTAATTGAAGGGATGGAAGAAGCAGGGTCCTTGGGGCTAGAAAAATTACTTCAAGAAGAAAAAGAGCACTTTTTCTCTGATGTTGATTATATTGTGATTTCGGACAACCTCTGGCTCAGCAACAAGAAGCCTGCCCTTACCTATGGGAGCCGGGGAAATGCCTGCTTCTGTGTGGAGGTAAAAAGGACACCGGTTCCTTCGAACTGGGCCCCTGACCGGAGAGCAGTGATGTACCTGTAACCACATTTATACTTGCAAGCAGAGAAAGACTGAGAGCAAGTTTGATATTTACAAATGCAGACTTTCCTTCCCTATCCTTTTTCGCCCATGCAGATTCCCCCCTCATTTCAGTTCAATTTGCCTTATTTACTTCCGTTAACTTTTCATCAATCATCGTTTCTTCACTTACTCTCTCTCTCCTTGATCCCTTTCCTATCCCATTGCTCTCCTACTGCTCTCCCAGTCTTTTCTCATCACACTCTCCACACATTAACTCTGCTCTCTTGCAGCATTTCCCCTACACCCCCCAACTCTTTCTCTCACTCCAAACCCACTTCTTCTGCAGCCTTGCCCTTTTTGCAGCAGATACTGCTTACTGCAATGTATTTGCCTAAAGGAACTCAATTTGGTTGGATCCCTGGGTTTAAAAGCCACGCAAAATTTTTGTAACCATTGGCAGAAGCAAGTAATAGTGCAGTGTACTACACTTAGCAGCCAACATGAGCTGCTTGAAATGAAGAACAGAAATTTCTCATCTGGAAACTTCCTGATGAAGCATAAAAGGAATTCAGAGAGAAGATTAAAGAACTAGAGAAGTGAAGAAAAATCTACATTAACCTTTCTGTCTGAAATAGAATGAATTTTTTTTTTTAACCAGAAAAGCCTCAGCAGCCTCGACTCAATTCTTCTAAGTCTTAGTTAAGAAAAATGGTGCTATTAAAACATCAAAAATGATCTCTGCCTGCAACCGGTAATGAGGTTTTGAGAAGAATAAACAAGTCTGTTGCAGGCAAATAGTTTATTATAAACCTGCATATGAAAATGTGTCTGGAAAAAGGAACCCATTTAATAAACCAAATGCCTCTCCCTATTCTAAAGGCATATGATTCAAGAGACCTCTAAATACTTATTTGTTGCATTCTGGAATTAAGGTTGGACATATATTTTTCTTAATGCAAAACAAGTAATGTTCTTTCTTGCCTTTGCTATGAAGATTTGCATTAAATAAAAAAGATAAAGAACTTGAAGAATTTATTCTGCAATGTTAGAAACAGTAATATGCAAGTATTTCTCTTACGGTATATTTAATCTTACTGGAGCAAAGGAGGGAATGGAGAGGGACTCTTTCTTTCAAATGCCTTTAAGTGCTATAGACAGCTGAATTTCTCTAGTGATTAACAAAAGAGTTCCATCTTCTCTTTACCAGAAGCAGATTGTTCCTGACGTGATGTTTTCCATTTTATAAATAAAAACATAATCACTTTATATTAATTTGTGGTGTCATTTAAAAAAAACGATGCCATCCATTGCTGTGGAAAAGAAACACTTGCAGAAGAATAAGGTAGGGAGTGTTTATATGTAACCAGTGTTTTTTGGTACAGGTTGAATGTGGCAGCAAGGACCTTCACTCTGGAACTTTTGGAGGCATCATTCATGAGCCGCTGACGGACCTTATAGCTCTGCTGGGTAATAACACGCGTCATTGCTCAGGAGTAACTGGGGAACAACGGCAAGCAATCAGCCTAACAAAGATCAGTGCCACGTTTAATTGACCTGCTTAAGACAAGTCTAATTGAAGCAATATTTCCAGGTCTCTAAATCTCAACACAGCTATGGTGGCAGCAGCTGAGGAGGGGAATGTCCCTGGTAAGGCCAGGACCTCAGACACATGCCTGTTAAACTGATGGCAGTCGCGTGTCAATCAACAACATTTAAGGATTGCTGGTAATTTGGATACCTACATGTGTAGCAAAACCTGACTTGTTAATGCTGATATGTATCTCAGTATGTATGTCAGATGTTTTCCTGTTAGCAGCTGTGCTGACCCACTACACACAAATGCACAGCCGGTCAGTGGTTTTCTTAATAAATATGAAAATACATCAGTGTGGGTACCATGACTCAATGGATGTCTAGTTGCTAGTAGTTAAATGTTAGCCTTACTCATTTGGTAAAGATTTAGGTAGAAGAGAAAAGGTGTTGTGATTGCCAAGTGGAAGAAATAGGTCCCACTTGTACTGATATCTGTATCTTACTTTGCAGACAGCCTTGTGGATCCCACAGGTCGGATTCAGATCCCTGGAATTTATGACAGTGTCGCTGCCCTGACAGAGGAGGAGAGGAAGTTGTATGAATCGATTGAATTTGATCTAGAAGAACATAAAAATAATGGTGGTGTGAAAAAATTCCTCTATGGCACCAAGGTAACATAAAATCTGTATAATGGTCAGCAGAAAGATTTTGAATCACCCATTTATAACATTTGTGTATAAAGCCAAACTGAAAGATGTTTTCATTCCATGGCAAACTCAAAATAAAATAAAGGAGCACAGAGCATTAGAAGCTGAAAAATACAGGTACCACATCTGGGGAAAGTGACTCAAAATATGAATAAACAATGAAAAGAAGTAATACAAAACTAAGTGTCACTCCCTCTCTCTTGCACTGCAGGACCTCTCCCCTCACCTAACTGGCCAAAGAAAATAAGCATTATCACCCCCACATATGAGTTACACAGTTGAAAATAAGTTGTATTCGGCTCTGAAAAAATGAGGAGGCACTTTAGGCAGATGTGTTATGGGGTGGTTTTCATGAGTTTAATTCAGATTATGATGTCTGTCGAGCATGCCAAAAAACCACCCAAAACTATAACCCAACTCTCTTTGCCAGTGTTTAAAAATTGTATCCTAAATAAAAAACAGTAGGTAAGGGGTGGCTCAGAAAGATCTCTCTGCACAGGAGTGGCATCTGAGAGAAAGAAGTGATTCATTTTTTTTTTAATCACTAATGTAATTATACTGGTATAAACTGTAATATGGATGGGTTTATTTCCATGAAAAAGCTTCTGAATTAGTCTAAGCTAGACTGCGATAATCAGTAATACAGAAGTATAATGTAACTGTGCCAAATAAGTTTTGATGCTTCACCTATGTGATGATGAAGTGGTGCAAATTTTATGTGTGCATAAAACTCTAGTCTCATAAAATTGGAGTAGCAGGAAAGGAGCCATGCCCTGGAGTTCTGCAGTAACTCCAATTTATAATTTATATATTTCTCCTGTCTTCCTTATAATAGGAATTTTCTTTTCTCTCTTTTTTTTTACCTTATTTTTTCCAGAAAACTAGATCAACTTTGTTACTGAACATTATCATTTTACCTTTTGTATAGTTTAAAGCTCGTTAGTAGAATTTCTTCCCTGCCATCTGGGAGGGATCCGGCTAAACTAGTCACTGGTTTCTCCTGCAAGAATTTCTGAGATCAACAGATGGTCAGATCAGAAGTTGTTCTGATTTTTCTTTGCACTAGAAAAATTTACTTCTAAGATAATTTAAAATAATGCTCCATTTTTCATGCTGTGTGTGAAAAGTTGTCCTCATCCAAACATTTCTAAAGGTAAACAGATGTTGACTTAAAGAAAGAGTGTGTCTTTTTTAAAATTAAAATGTATGAGAGTGGGTTTAAATTACAAAGCAAACATCTTTAAAATAGAGGTCTCCAAATGCAAATTTTACAACAGAAGAAGGTTGTTTCTTCACATCAATTTATATTAATTGTGAATGGCTCCACTGTCATCCCTTATATTTTCAGTTTTATGTTTTTTGAAGGAAGAAATACTTCTACACCTGTGGCGTTACCCTTCTCTCTCTATTCATGGAATTGAAGGAGCTTTTCATGAACCGGGAATTAAGACCGTCATTCCAGCAAAAGTCATTGGCAAATTCTCAATCCGCCAGGTCCCCCACATGGACCTTTCAGTTGTGAAACAACAGGTGAGAAGAAAACCTTTGCTTTGGTCTCTACTGTGTAAACTAGGTCTCTCTTAGCACCTCACAAAGTAGTAAATTGAATGTTTCTGGCATTTATTTGTTTCTGAGAGCAGAAGAGGGAAGGTGGGTGTAAATTTCAGTTGCAAGAAGCTGAACACTTCTGGCTGCAATGTTTTCCCCACAGGTGGTGGAGCATTTGGAGGGTGTCTTCTCCAAGAGGAACAGTCCAAACACATTGAAAGTGTCTATGCCTTTGGGCGCAAAGCCCTGGCTTGCTGATGTTAATGATCCATTATATAAAGCAGCAAGAAGGGCAATAAAAACAGGTATGTTGCTTCTTTTTTTTCCATCCTTAATGTGTCTGCAAGCATGCAGGGGAGTTGTGCTCATCCACAGAGCAGAAGGGATTTCCTGACTTGGTGCTACAGTCACACCTGGCTGATCTTGACAGAACAGCTCAGCCACTGAGGCCTCCACCTCTTGCTGAATTGGGGTCTATTCAACAGGAATAGCCAGAAGACTCCATTTAGTTCTTTTGCATCCTGACACAAAGCCAGAGGCTTGTAGAGGGCAACTGATTGATTACATCAATTGGCTACACACTCAAAACAATTCCTGCTCAGAAACTCTTTATGTTTGAACAGATAACTGATATTTGGTAGCTGTGGACAGCACCTTTATTTCATTTAATGAGTTCATTCTTTCCATGTATTTCAGTTTTTGGAGAAGATCCAGATTTTATTCGGGATGGTTCAACAATTCCTGTTGCCAGAATGTTTCAGACTATAACGCAGAAAAGTGTGATGATGTTTCCGATCGGAGCAGCCGATGATGGGGAGCACTCCCAGAATGAGAAAATAAGCAGGTTTCTTTTATTTGTCTATTTGTGCTATAAGAGAAGAGGGGTGAACCAAGGTCTTGGGGTACCCACACATAAGCACTGCCAGGTGGGAAGCTTTGCAGTCCCAAAATACTGCCTCTGGGAAACTTGTTGCTGTGCCAAGCAGAAAGCAAAATTCTAAATCTTACTTGTGCAACTATATACTTTTCATGAAGTGTTGACTCAGCCTTTAAATACATCACACTGGCAATTTTCATTTCACTGACAGTTAAATTTCTCTGGTCTAAAAGATGATGTAGACAAGGCACTTTTCCATCACAGCATCAATTTCAAAGTATTCCAGTCAGGCATACTGAGGATAATAGTTAAGTAAGGGTTTTAATTGTTTTCCTTTTTTTTTTTCAATGGTATAAATGGATATAAAGGTGTATTTTATATTACAAGGACCAAAACTAGTGTAACCATATAAAAATTAGCTTAAACTTGCCACTTGTGTTCATTCCTTGAGGAGCCATGATAAGACACTGTTCAGTCTGATGTCTGAATATTTGTGCAGCTTCTGAGTCAAGTCATGCTGAGGTCAAGGAACTGGAGAATCCTACAATAATTCTCAATTTGGTTTTTGTTGTCCCTCTGTATATCCTCAGCCTTTGCAGCTACAGGCAATAGCAGTTAGGGGAAACAACACTTGAAAAAGTTTCCTCAGTGAATCTTTCAGAGGAATGCCAATTGCAGGAAGTCCACAATTTCTATGCATTGGTCCTTTTTTTGGTGACCGGTCTTGCAAATTCCTCTGAAAACTCTGAAAACTTCACCAGACTATAGGTTGCTAACTTGAAGAGCAAAACAGCCTGACAGGGTTTCATTCTCCTTCTTTCCTTCTTCATAGACACAACTACATTGAAGGAACCAAAGCATTTGCAGCCTTTTTCCTGGAGCTATCAAAGCTACATCAACAATTAATTGAAACTTCCAACATGGAAACTAACAACTGATGGACCACTGCTAGAAAATCAGCAAAGCACTTAAGCTTTCTAACTTCCTGATCTGGAAAAACATAGAAATCACATACTCAGTGGGTCTGAATTGGTAGAGAAAATAAATGCTATGCTATTACTTGCCATACTACTACATGGCATGCATTTGTGATCCAGTCAATCAAGTGATCATACCTCAAATGCTATAAAATGGGGTTAGGGATAGTTGCTAAGTTTTTTTGTAAACAACTGTTCTGGCCAAAACATATCATCAGAAGGATATTTTTTCACACAATTAGCAACTGCTTGTTGCTAATTACTTTTAAAGCATTAGTTTACATGGATCATTAAATCAAAGACAAATTATATATTTTGAAATTAAAGCAATAGTTGAGAGTTCTATCTGCTGTTTAGGCAAAACACGTAGCACAAATCATATAAAACATACCTATATTTTTTTTATTTCAAAATGTGATTTTTTTTTTTAATAACATGTAGTTATTTCATGCACAACCAAAGTGACTGAACGAGATATAAACAAAAATTTAGTAGTGTTATCCTTACTGTTAAAACAGATGACATTGATTACAGGAAGTAGTTGTTATCTTTCCTTTCTATCCTGCAAAAGCCTGCGAGAATAAAGGTGGTTAAGGGCGTAAGGTATGGATGTGGAGTTCGTAGGAGGGAATATTGTACTATGGATTATATACATGAACAGCTGATGTGGAAAGTTATCAGGACTAGCTGAATTTAAAAACATAAATGAACAAGCTTCTGATTTTCAGTAGCATTCCTGAAATTCCTGGGAGCTGGACGTAAAGGCAGTTGGCCTTTTAAGATGTCTAGGAGCAGTAGTAACCTGGGATACTTAAGTTTCAAATCAGGTTCTCAATAAACACCCATTTTCAGCCTTTCCCAGGGCTGTGAAGCTCACAGACCCCAGGGCTGTGAAGCTCACAGACTAAGAACGAATCGGGTCACCACCTGCTTAGCCTGTGAAAGTGGAAGATTAGTCTTCACCATGCAGTTATGGTTTTCCTGTTCAGTAACATCACTCCCAAGAAGCTTGACTTTGACTCCTTCTAGGTATTCCTCTCAGAATATGGCATTTAGCTTGTTTGACAAAACATTATACAGTGCCTTGCTAGTTAAGGGTGTCCGCAGTCCACGTCTGGACAGGGAAGATTGTGCAGCTGTGCCTTTACCAGTGACACAGGAGCCAGTGCCAGCGAGGACCCACAGTCCATTTGCTCCTGCTGGAAACTTACTGCAAGTAACAGGTAAAGTTAAAATACTGATGCATGAAAAAACTCCTGAACTCAATCTTCTCACTTTATATATCCTGTTTAGTCTCCCTGGCTCATCTCCACGTTGCTCATCACTAAGGTGTGAAGGGTGCCTGTGTGTGTGCAAAACTCACCGATAAAGCAAGCGTACATAACTGCACAGAATCACAGAATGGTAGAGGTTGGAAGGGACCTTCAGAGATCATTAGTCCAACCGCCCTGCCAAAGCAGGGTCACCTAGAGCAGGCTGGGCAGGAATGCATCCAGGTGGGTTTTGAATATCTCCAGAGAAGGAGACTTCACAACCTCTCTGGGCAGCCTGTGCCAGTGCTCTGCCACCCTTAAAGTACAAAAGTTTTTCCTCATGTTCGGATGGAATTTCCTGTGTTCTAGCTTGTGCCTGCTGGCCATTGTCCAGTCCCCACTGGCACCACTGAGAAGAGCCTGGCCCCATCCTCTTGACACCTGTCCTTTAGATATTTATAAGCACTGATGAGATGCCCTTGTTCCCACCTACCCTCAGGGTCTGTCCCCTCTGCTCACAGAAATGCTCACTGCCAGCTATTTTCTACCATGGGATTTTCTAGGATCCTAAAAACATCTGCAGTTTCTCTGCCCTTCTCCTTTTGCCTTGCTTTCTCAAGTACCTCTGGTTTTGGAAGACTTCTCCTCTAGAAAGATGTTGACTCTGGGATTGGTCAGAACTGTGCATGTTACCATATTTTTGGTGCAAGTTGTTCTCTTACAGAGAAAAAGCATGGTACGTTACTAACAGTTATTGCCCCAAGGTTAAACTGAATTGATTTTCAAATTTAGACCTTGTATCATAGAATCGCAGAATACCTCTCGTTGGAAGGGACCCATAAGTATCACAGAATCCAGACCCGTATTTTGAGCTGTGGACGCATCATGTCCTTTAAGAGATAAATCATTATATAAATATTTGAAATGGAAATATGTAAATCTAAAAATATGATCACTTCCTTGAAATCAGAGTGCCTTTTTGTCTGCTTAGCTCTACTGCTAAATATTTCAGTGATCTCCTCACTTGCATTCTTCAGAAACACACGTATGAAGAACAGCTTCATGTTACAGGGTATTTTACTCCATATTTATCAAGTGCTTTTCCTGGGATACTGCTACATCAGATTACATAAAACCAGACCGGGAAATTCAAACCAGGCAGCTAAGAATGCAAGCATGGTGGTATACAATTTTGCAAGTTCATTACAGATTTTTATTTTGTTTTAAATTGAAGCGTGAGCTTGAACTGAACTCAAGATACTCAGACATCATTTCCATTGGTTTCTAAGGAGATAAGTGAAAGAGCCACTGTATATCGGGGCTTCCTAGTCCTGCCTGAGGAACTCCAGCTCCCACACAGCTTTTCAGCTGATTTTGCAACCCCCATGGAATGAGATGTTTGAGCTGGAGGGAGACAGAGGAGGTTCACAATTAGTTTGCTCTCACACGGTTTTAAAAATTGCAAATACTAGCTGAAAGCTGGCTTGTGGTTTGTTATGTAAATCCTCTCAGGTTCTGTGCGTGACACTTGCCACGTTCACTTGCTGCTCAAGGCAGGAATGACAGCTGTGTTTCTTTATGGACTTAAATAGGTGTGTAAAAGCGCTTGCAAAAATACAACTAGGCATTGAGTTTGGATTCTCTTTGCTAAGAAACTTCACCCTTGGGAGGGGAAAGAAGCCAGCAGGACTTTGCTTAAGCTTCAAAGTACACACTACACAAGGTGTCCTCTGCGAGCAAGGAAGAATGGTGGTGTTCCTTGCCTGATGAGCATTTGAGAACTTCAGTGTGTAACCAGGAGATGCTTCCCATAAAGCTGACAGTTTACACCGGTTCCAGTTGTGGTGGATGTAGCTCCAACAGGGCTGGGATGCGTGTGCCAGGTGGATAAGATGCTGACTTAGTGAAGATGAAAAATAACGATTAAATCTGTATTTCATGTAGCGTGACTATCTTTGCAAGTTCTTTTCCGATCTGATCCCGCATTAAATCTTAATGTATTGATGCATAATGTACCAGACTTGATGTTTATATTTGAGATATTTGTCTTTCACAAACTTGCTCTGTGGATTTGTGAGAGATGAATTACACAGTGGCAGAGTTGTAAATACTGGCAAGCTGGACATCTTCACACACAACAGATAATACAGGGTAATAAATGAATCTCTAACATTTTACTGCAATGAATTACCTTTTTATTAAAAAAAATCCCCACAGTACAACAAAACCAAATCCTAGGAGGTTTGGCATTGTCAGCCTCCAGACAGACTTGGATATAGTCGTACTTAAACCAGACATTGTGTATGTATGTGTGAATAATACTGATGTTGCTACCTGTCGGAAAATCGTATCAGTGAGCTCCCACTGTGAAATAACATGAAGTGCCAGCCAATTGCATGTTCCCTGTCTTTTAGATGCAGTTACAATTTTTCTACTTTATTTTATTTTTTAATATCTTCAAGAATAATTCAAATGTTAGGCTAGCCCTGTCTTTTTATTTGTGGAGCTGAAGGGGATTTTTTCTTTTTTTTTTTTTTTTTTCTCTTTTTCCCCCTGAATTTAGAATTGAAACTGTAATTGAATTTAGAATTGAATTTAGAATTGAAACTGTAAAAGAAACGGGAAAATAATGAACATGACACACTCCCGACATGCAGCCTTCTGGTGTGAAGAAACAGGTGGTGGCAAGAGCCCTCGTGAATTTCATTCCACTTTGTATCACTTTTTTTTTTTTTTTGTTATTCCACTTAGAAATTCAAGAGTTAGTACTGCTTTATTCGCCTCCTGTGCATCATTGCCTTCCTGACAAGACGGCAAACTCCACGGGCAGGGTTACCATCATCAATTTGGCAGCAGCCCTGACATTCCAGTGACCGCTTCAAATGATAGAGTTTCATTTAATCATAGTGGAAGGACCAGTAGGATCTGGCAACTACATCCTTTCTCAAATATTCTTTTTTTTTTTTTTTTTTAGGGGATGCTGAGGAGATGTTGTGCTATCTTCCCTATTGGTGAACAAGGCAGCAATGACAGCCTGTGGTGCCTTTGCCAAATCACCACTGTAATGTACACAGGATGTGATGTCACTCCTTTGCATGTTTTGTGCATGCAGAAATTGCAATTGCTTGTGCTTATATGCAATTGCTTTATATGAGCATTTATTACTATTTATTTTTGTCATAGTGACTACTGTGATATTGCGGAGACAGCTGGTTCCAGACTTTTATGTATCTTAATTGTTAAGAACTTCTCTTACCACTTCTCAGCTGAGCTGTAACCTGGCTTTAGAGAAACATAATTCAAGATTATTCTGATTAGATAAAAATTAATCAGATTAATATCTGATTAAAGAGACACGTCTGACTCCTCAACTGCCTCTGTGAAGATACCTCTTGGTGCACACGTGGATATCCATGGCTCCTGTGCGTCTGTCTGCTGGCTTCAGGGATCTGCTCTGTAGCTATTTGCAGGATCAGCACTTTAAAGATAAATACACTCCAGTGGTATCTTCTCAAGCTGTCAGCCCAAGCTTCAAAACATCTGATCATAATTTTCATAGAAAAAAACCCAAACTTGAAAAGTCCATGTAAATATTGCCTTTGGTTTGCAATAGGAAAGTTCCTTTTAGATACAATTATAACTTCAGTTCTCCAAGTATAAAAGCAGAAAGGATAGAAGTTAAGCCTGTAGAAATTCAGCTTCACTTCTCCTGGAGCACATGCTGTGCTCCTTGCGTTTGGAAAGGAGAACGGCATGACCCACCAAGGTGGAACAAGTCCAGTTCTTTCATTTCTTCAAGAGCTGAACAGAAAGCCTGTGATGTTACTGGTAACAGCAGCCCCTGATGATGTGTCTCATGGGCCAAACGGAAGGGTCTGCAGGCACTGATACTCTCTTTGTCACAATTTGTGACTCTAAGTACTAGCCTGAGGATAAGGGGGGAGAGGAGGACATGAGGACTTCAAGTGTTACCCCTTTTTTTCAAATTAGTGTAACTTCTGGGAGTTGGACTAGATGGTCTCTATGGTCCCTTCCAACTCTAAAAATTCAGTGAAATTCTACACACACACATAAGCTTAAACTGCTATGAACAGTATTTTTCACTGAAAAAACTATTTTCTTCTCTTGAAGCTGCTTAAAAATTTCCTTTTTCTAGGTTTTATAAAACACTACGATGCAAACAGATCCCTTCTAAGCATTCATTAAAGCCTGCGTGCATTCTTTCTCATTTGTCTTGAACATTTATACTGCAGTTATAGTAACAGGGAAAGTCAGGAAAACACAATTTTTTTTTATCACATTTTTACTTGTTTGCATAAGGCTCTCCAGATGAAAACAGAGAAGTTGAACACAGGCACCTAGCAGCAGGTGAGCATTTTGTTTATGTGTTTGTACCTCAAACAAGCAGCCCGGCACAGCTGGGCTGCGGACCCACAGGGCATCACGAAGCGAGTGAGAAGCTGCCAGCGTGAGCGTGGGTGCCACCTCGCTGGCGTGTCACAGCACGGTGTGCTCATGCCTGGACACGGCTGCACCTCCTCTGG